TTAAGCTCCAAGGAGGGAGGTTGTTCAATGGATGGTGAGGTTGGGGCAACCGTGATGTTATGAGTTTTAGCTACATAAACAACTTCATCTGCATGAAAAACATCACCCTGTACGGTAGCATTAATCTCAGCATAAACAGAGCAAATGTTAGTGACGGTACATGAATCACAAGAGTAAGTATCATCAAAATCTGCTAATGATGGAAAATCAAAACACAATTCAGAATAAGTATATCAACTAAATTAGAAGGAAACTCTTTTGGATTCACTACTGTTTGGGCAGGTGGTTGGTTTGATTCTTGAGCTTGCTGCATGACATTCACTATAGTGGCAAGCTGTTTAATCTGTGTCTGCAAAGCCTGAAGACTTGAATCTGTTTGTTGCTGAAACTGAAGATCATTTATAGCCATTTTCTTGACAAGGTCCTCTAGTGAAGGTTCGGAAGGTTTAAAGCACATAATTTGGAATTCCTTCATATGCTTATTCGGATCCTCACCTGCAAGACCATTAAATCTTGGCAACAAGTTTATCAAACCAGATTCCAATTTGAAAGGTACATTAACAACAAGATATTCCGTACATAAAGTATTATAACTCATATCCGGAGCAGCTAATTGCCTTAAGGTTCTATTATCAGTCATTTCAAAATCAAGTTCAGTATCCGAAGCAAACAAGTTATGCAGATAGTCAGACTCAGACTCAAACACAATGATGGAAAATGATTACTTAAATTTAAGAAAAATAAAATAACACTAGAATTAAGCTAATTAAGCAAAATAACATTTATGAGAAATTTTTTGACTTTTTTCGACTTTATGAAAACAGTAAAAAAATCATTAAAAATAAAAAAAAAAAAGGGTTTTTTGCGATTCTGAGGGTGGATCCCAAATATTCCCCGAGGAATACTAGGACTAATGATCGGACGATTTTTCTGCTTCTCGTAGGCAAAACAGTTTTACAATCGGATACAATTTTTCCAAAAACCGATTTTTTCGACTCTAGACGCGAGAAGGCCAAAAACGTGGGGAACCTAGGGCCTAAGTGCAACAACACTAAACCTACGGCTCTAATAACGATTAATAACGACAAGAATTCCCCGACAACGGCGCCAATTTGATCCGCTGTCGCGCGCAGATCAAAAACGAGTCTTTTTGTAAAACTTATAGTACAACGACAGTAACTCAGAATATCGTTCTCAAGGATTCTTGTAGTGATTGACCAATAAAGTAACAGTTTATGGGGGTTTGAATTTTGATTAAGAGAAAAAATACTTAAAATAAGTGACTATAAAAAAAGTGATTATTAAAATAAGCTAAAACGGCTAATCCTACTGATTCGGGTTCCGACTTATCATCGGCTATTATAACATCAATCCCTAAACGACTCCAATCCTATTCGATTATGATATTAATCAGACAAGCGCTTACCAACATCAAATGAATTATATTCCTGTTTGCCGAATTAAGCAAACGGTTAAGAATATGACGAATTAAGCAAACGATAACACGCAATTAAATTTAGGAGCACGCAAACAATCGAATTTAATCAATTCTATCCTATGAACAACAATTGAATTAAGCAAACAATTGCAATCAAATTAAGCAAATGACTTCATAGAAAAGGATTGAAAGGAATCAGATTTAAATTGATATTATAATAACCTCAATGTGTTGAAACCGTACACAGCAGGATTTGCCCGGAGGTATTAGTTTTCCATGAGTTCTTCTAAAAAATCTCTCTCCATTTTTTTCCGTGAATAGTATATAATTAACAGTAAAACAAGGTTTCCCCTAAAAACAAAAACAATGGATCCGGTTCAAAATCCAACTGGGTCGAAAATATAACCCAGACCCAAAACATGACCCAAAACTAAAACAAATTCCTAATGCTGTAACTTCAATGAATATTCTGGGAAAATGTGCTCCGAATCTGACTTTGACTCCAACACGAAAGTCGTAACTCTCTCTCTCTTAGCTTTCCGGCGATTTTCAGAACGCCCTAATACCATGGACGTTGATCAGTGCCGGCACACGAGGCGCGTGTCAAAGGAAAAATTGGCTTAACAAAAATCTAATGCGTTAAGATATCTACCACTAACTGTTAGTTGAATAAAGTATGTCTTATTTTCCCAATTCTTTTTTTTGTTGACAAAAATCATGTGGTTGTTAACATAAAACGTTATTCAAATGATGGTGGCCACACCACATATTACGGGTAAACAATCCCAAAACCATCTCATTTGAAGTCACATGCAAAAAAAAAAATACAGTAAGTACTACACTAATATAGGTTAGAGTTAGACATTCATATTTCATGGTGAGGTCTAGGGGTGTTCATGGGTGGGGGTCGACCCGCAAACCCGCCTACCCAAACCGAACCAACCCACTAATTACCCGGACCCATTCATTTACGGGTATACCCGACCCAACCCGTAACAACCCGTATAGATTTGGTTCGGGTATTGGGTTTTAGTTTCTAAACCCATGAACCCGTTGACCCAACCCGTTGACGTGGCATAATTAATTATTATTATTATATTATTATTTATAAATTTTAAAGTTGCTATAACTTTGTAAATTGTAACGTACACAAAGATCTTTTGCACTTTCCTTCCAGTTTCCAATCACACGTTAAATTATTATTATTATTATTATAATTAAACATTATTATTAATATTAATCATGCTTGCTTGACTTATGCACTTCTAGTTTACACTTCTAGTTTACACTTTACTGCCTTTTTATTTTTTTAATGAATCTTTATTAACTAATAATAATTAAGTATATATTAGAAACTTACTAAACTAAAGACAATACCACTTAACCTAACCCTATTTTTTTACTACGGCAAATCTCAAACGTCACCACTCCTCTTTCTCTCACGATTTTTTTTTCATTTTACTCTCTCACATTCCAATTCCATCTTACTTTCGAAAATCTACGGTCTATACTTTGACTCTCTCATAGTTTCGTCTCCATATTGAATAAGGTTTTATACTTTTTATAGTTCTACAATATATTTATTTCAATGCAATATATTGTTTTTACAGTATGTACTTCAATAGTTTTATATCAATGCAAAATATGATGATAGGTTCAATGTAATGTACTATTTTGTTTCATATGATGCAAAGTACTATTTTGTTTCATATGATGAAAATATATTTTGATGCAAAGTCCTGTTCTGTTTCATATTATTAATTTAAATATATTTTGTTTAATGTTGTTTTAATAATAATTTATATTAAAAATTGTTTTTTTATAGAAAATGGAAGTGGAACAATCACAAATTGTCAGTGAAGATGTTGCTCATCCACTTGAACAAGAGCAAGAAGTTCAACAAATACAAGGAGAAGGGTTGTCATCATTGCCACAAAGTGCACTAATAGAGGTAAGCAAAAGAAAAAGTAACATTTCACTGTTGTTGCTGGAATCTTTTACAGCTACTGTTGCTGGATTTTCTGTTGTTGCTAAACCTTTCACTGCTGGTGCTGGAATCTTTTATAGTTGTTGTTAGATTTTGGTGCTATTAGACCAATATTGGACCAATACATCTATGTCATTTTAAGACTAAGTGATGTTTATTTGCTTTTGAATTATTTAGAATTTATGAATTTTATGGAAATGATATTTTATGAAATTTTATATATTATTAAGTGTTAATATATATGATAGTTTACGGACCTACTTTTAAGCATGTGCTAGAAAAGGTAACATTTGAGTATCAAAATAACTAATATATACGGTATATTATTATATATTTGTTTTATATATGTTGATATATATTTGTAATGGATATTGGATAACATTTGAGTATCAAAATAACTAATAAATTTTTATAAATTAAGGTATATTAATGAAAATATATAAATAATTAATGGTGTATATGTATCTTAATATTTTTTATGACAAAGAAAATACATTTCAAAATTTTAATTGTTATATTTTTAATTATTCTATTTTATATGTAGGATTTGTCTCCACTACGTAAATAATTTAATTGTTTGAAATATGCAAAATTATATTGAATTGTGTTATAGATTTTTTAAATTGAAAATGATAATTATTATATACACAACCCGTGGACCCAACCTTACCCAACCCGTAAATATCCAGGTTGATTCGGGTCGATTTTTAAAGTAGAATTACGGGTTTGATGATAAACTCAACCCATTGAAAGTTGAACGGGTTGGGTAACGGGTTAAGGCGAACCCGGTCCAACCCAACCCGCGTACACCCCTAGTGAGGTCCAGCCCGGACGAATTCATAAATCTTGATCAGTTGGCGCAAAATATATATACTATTATAAATATTTATATAAAAAATATATCAATGTGAAACCATATATCACTGTGTAAAAAAGTTAAAACTATGAAAACTTTATTATTCTATATTAAAAAAAAATCAAAGATACTTAAACATATAATTTTTTATAATAAATAATTCTATTTTGAAATTATTGAATAATTTTTCTTTTGTTTTTATTTTTAATATCTAACAAAACAACCGTTAATTATTTAAGAATATTTAATTCTTAAAATACACAAATACTGATTTTTTTAGTGGGGCATTACTTCTGTTTCATCATGTGAAAAATAAATATTTTAAATTAATTTATATAATATAAATAATTTAGTGGGGGCAGTTGCGCCAATACCATGGACGTAGATCTGTGCCTGGAGACATCTCTTGCTCAAATGGCATACAATGATTAACCAGTAAAGTTTTTGTTTGAAAAAGACATTATGGGTTCATGTTTTCTTCCTATTTTGATCACAACATCTTACAACAATTAACACCTCTATACAAAGGACAATCATTCCAACAAGTCCATTCATACCAATCACTTTTACAACTGAAGAAGCGTAAGTAAATTAAGTTACAAAATCATTCCAAGGGATAATAAGAAGCAATTTACACAATTATAAACAAAAATAATAAGAGAAACAGGGTCTGCAAGCCTCACGCAAAAAGGAAAACTTTGGCGCTACCCCCACACAACTTAATTCCAGCCTCCACAAGGTATACTAGCAGTTTTTGAATATGAAAGGTCATCGACAGATTCCACAAAATTCATAGAGAATCCCTGCTGTGTTGTTTCTGGATCTCTATGATCTTTACCTATATATGATGTGGATGGAAAATCCAATGCCAAAGTGCCTACTTGAGAATTTGTTCTCACTATTGATATATCATTTTCATCACCAAACACTTCAGTTTCCTGCATTAAAGGATACGTCAAGTTCTTCGGATGGTCGACAGAAAAATGTGTGTGGCTTCATGGTAGATTAAATGTCAAGTAGAATGCCTAAAAACCCATTCCAGCAAAGATGGAATATACTACAGATAAATAGCTATGAAATAATTACAGTAATCAATCAAAGAAATGACTAAAATACCTCTATTGGTGACATGAATCCTCTTTAAATTAGGAAAACAAACTAGAAACGCAGATATTATTTTTTCTTAAAATACAGTTTTCAATTAACTATAAAAATACCAAAAAAGTAACATTATAACAATGACTATACAATCAACAAAAACATATATTAGAAATAAATATGCAGCGGTGAAACATAAAGCTAGTGAAACAATAGGAGACTGTCCCATTACCTACTTCTAGATGTTAACCAAAATCCCAGAGAATTCCATAACCAATTTCTCAACAAATCTCAACTAAAATTGCAGCTCAAAAAACTTAATCTAAGCCTTAGATAGATACTTTCACACCCAACCATCTCAGTTCTGAAAACAGGACTCAAAAGGTGAATACCTTGGATTGCAAAGCCTAATGGAAGGAAAAATAAAGCAAAGCGTATAACTTTAGGACCTACAAGATGATTAAGTTTATATTTTTATACTGCCATTCATTCTGGTTCAATCCTTAGGAGGAACAGATCCAAATTTCAAATAGCATAGTAAACCATTTATAGCACTTGGAATTATACTAACCTTAAGGACAACCACTTCTCTGGAAAAAAAGCTATATTAAAAGAAAATTGAAAAGGAGCAAAATGGAATTAAAAACTATTCTTATCAATGAAAACCATTATGCACTATAAAATTGGCAACACACAAAGAAATGGAATTATACCAATCATTGTAAAAATAGTTGTTGTTCATGAACTGTAAAGGATTAATAGATTGAAAAGCATACACTTATAACCTCTTAAAATGTGTTGTTCTATGCAGGAAACAAAAGTACAAGCATTAATATGCAAATCACTCTGATGATACGTAAACCTACATCACCCAGTAGCAATACCTTCAGAGATCAATATTTGTAAAACAAAATGATATACAGGTTGAATATTAAAATTTACATGGGAAATTTGAAAATATATTCAGGTAGAAGTGATATACTCAACAAATGCCCCCAACTCTTTAAACAAAGATACGACTAAGCTACTATAATCCATCAACTTCTGAAGGGTTTTTACAACAAAACAGACTAAATGAACATGTGCAGGATCAGAATCTTCGAGAAGCGGCAAGAATGCAGATACCATGCCAGAACCTCTGATACTACTCCCTGAAGTTGACATTGAGAAACCACAAGAAGCAAATAGAACTGAAGAAGTGCCTCAACAAAGGCAAGAGTATGGAAAAAAATTTAGCTCAATTTAATTACATTTACAACTCATTCATCACAAAATTCAACTCATTTATCCGTAGATAGTCCTGGTTGAATCTCAAAATTGGATAATTACCACAAATATTTCAACATATTAAATCGTTAGCATATTTAACAAACCTAATTGATTTTCTAATTCAAAATATTTTAACCTTTTTTCTCTAACAAAATAGGTCTCATTCAGTTCAACAAATTTTCTAACTAACTTAATAAACTTCCTAACTAATATAACAATTTTTTAACAAACTTAACCGACTTTGTAACTAACTTAACCGACTTTGTAACTAGACTTTGTACCTAACTTAACCGACTTTTTTTTTCTGACTAGCTGGAAACTGAATCCCTGATCTATCCCTCACTCCAACCTCTCTATAAAGCTTGAATTCAGGAAATTCCTCACATACTTCAAAAAAACTAGCTTCTTTCTCTCTGCAACTCCCACTCTCTTCTTTCTCTCACCGACCCACGCACTCAAAGCCTCATCCAACATTCAAAGCCTCAAATGTCTATCAGAGTGATCTAGAACTCCTTCACTTCTAAGCCTCATCCACTCTCCTCAACCCTCCGCCTCCGTATCTATCTCCCAGCATTCGACCAACGGTTCTAGCATATTATAGATCAACAGCAGTCACGCGGCAACATCGCATATCAAGAAAGAAGGTGCAGAAGAAAAACTGAAGCCAAAGACAAAGGACAAGCATTCGACCAACGGTTCTAGCGTATTATACAGCAGTCCCGCAACAACATCACATATCAAGAAAGAAGGTGCAGAAGAAAAACTGAAGCCAAAGACAAAGGAGAACAACGGACCTGTGTTTTCCCTGCAAGCTGCTGCGAACAAAACACTGCACATCTTGGACTGTAAGTATTCCAAGTCTTTGTTTCTTGAGTCATCAGAGTGTAGGTTAGGGCTTACGGGATCAAAACACTAGGTGTTAATCTGAATTAATTAAATTGTTTGTTATGATTTGATTGAAAAACCATGGCTAGATTTGAGATGAGAGGATATTTGTGAGTTTGAACTCTCAGCCGGCCGCCGGAAGGGTAAACACTAGTTAATCTGAATTGAATTGTTTGCTATGATTCGATTGAAAAACCATGGCTAGATTTGAGATGAGAGGATATTTGTGAGTTTGAACGCTCCGCCGGCCGCCGGAAGCGAATTGAATCAGAGTGTAGACGGATCCTCGTGATCTAACCCCGTGAAAGGATTTTGATAAATGAGTGCATGGATTCCCATTTTCATCTCAGCTTGCATTTCATTTTGGAGATTGCGTGCAAATTGAGCAGTGCGTCTTGGACTATTTGCATATGGAACTGAAATCAGAGGTGGCGGTGGTGGTGGTGCTGCCATGATTGGTGAATCAGGTGGAGCGAGTGATGAAGATTCCCCGTGCTCTTGTATTTCAATAGCTTGTTACCGTCTTCGCCTTGTGTGACTGTTGGTACGACGAGCAGTTCTTTCAATCTCAGGATTGAAAAGAAGGTCTTCAGGCCGGACTTGTCCTCGCATAAACGAATTCTGCACACGAACCAAACAGTACAAAGAATTACAAAGATAAGAGATTCACAATACACAAATCTTAAAATCACTAAACTATTGCAATGCTTGCAATATTCTACTAACAATCTCGGATAACGACACCAATTTGTTAAAAGTATTTTCGATAGTGTTTTATCGTATCTACAGGGATTGATGAAGATATTTGATGCTTGTCGTTCAATGGTTTAATGATTTAAGAAGGGTTTTTTTTTAATGGTTTCTATTTTGTAACAAAAGTTTGTAAGAAATAAAACAAAGTAAAATTTGGTTTTAGTTTGATAAAAAGCATGTCAAGATTAGGGTTCACTAATCCGTCATAAACGTATCCAACCTATCAAATATGTGAACTTAGTTTTAACCAACATAATCGTGTATCCTCACAAAAACGTTCATCTCTAAAGCAATTTCGTGAATGTTATTATTTCGACCGTTAAATGACCTCTCTAAATAACACTTGAAACAATAATAATTAAGATCAATACAATGCGAATATCAACTTCTAAATCTATGTCGAGAGTTTGTATAGTTGATAGATGAAGAAACTAGGTCAAGACTTGAAAAGTTCATGTCTAAAGCAATCCAAACCATAAATATAACAAAAGATAACAAATAACTTCATATATATTGCTCAAAGTCTTGTTCACATATAAAAGATTAAGAAGAATGCATAAAATCAGAACTAGCTACCTCTAACCTTTGACAAAAGAGGGGTTTTAACCACCCATTCCCATGATAGCTTGAGCAACAAGTTTCGGAAGAAGGTTGATCAACATCTGAGTCGAATAATCGAGATTGGATGGGAATCCACCTTCTTTTTGTGAAAGATGGCTAAGATATGATGAAAATGGAGAAACTAGTTTTTTTTCTCTGAAAAATCTCAAACTAGAAAAGGTACAAGAAAAAAAAATCTTTTTACAAAAAGTACCACATACTACTTATAGACATGCTGCTGAGCTGTCATATTCACACTGTGAATAATATGTTCTCCTAGAGAACAATGAAAACTGGCCATTGAAGTGTCAGTGTACAGTGAAGACGCCCCTGAGCTATGGGGGTGTTCGCTAGCAATTCGCTACTTCATCGCTCTAGGGAACTCTTCCCACAACTAATTTATGCTCCTTTCCTTTCTATTATGAACAATACATGCTCTCCATGGTCTTCACTGGCAAGTTCGTTATGAGAACTTGTTGATGTTTTTCAGGGTAGATTCGCTAGCAAGTTCGCTGTGTAAACTTGTTGATGTTTTCATGTTGACTTGGTTTCCTTGTCACAATTTTTGTGTCTTACTCTTCATATTTTCATGCATAATTCTTGCACAATAGCACACAAATCAAAGCAACCAAGACATTTTCACATAATGAAGCATATCAACAAAAACAAGAATGATTTTAAACACTTTCTCTACAAAAAGAATGAAAGATGCCAACATTTGATAGATCAAATAAGCAAATTTTGACATCTAACAAAAGCGGATATAACCCATTGTACATAGTTATACAAAAGGGACACATCGGCCAAAACATATTACATCACGAATTGAAAATTAGTGCACAGACCAGAAAAACCAACACGGGCACGTAGGCCCGGAAACACCTAACATACCCTAAGAGGTCTCATGCCCCTACTGCTCTCCCTCTACCGCCGGGTTGTTATGATCGTCCTCGAACCCAGGCACTAACACCCATCCATCTACAACCTGGTGATAGGGCCCAGTCCCCTCGGTGATTAGAGCAACCTCTGGGTTCACTATCTTTAGCTGCTATGTGGCGCTCTCATAGCCGACCTCGACCGCCCCTAAGCAATCCTGTTCGAGCTTCCGAACCCTTGCCACCAGCTCAGCCCGAGTGATCAGTAGCCTCTCCTCCTCCTCAGCAGAACGAATATCAGCCTCTAGCTCTGCAACCCACGCCTATAGCTTCGACCTGTCCTTCCCAACATCTTTCAATCGCTCTTCGGCCTCGTTGTTCTGTTTGCGCTGAGTGGCGACATCCTCCCTGACCAGATCAAGGTCGACAACCAACTTTGTCATCTTTGCCTCGGCGGCCGCAAGGTCCTCCCGCAACTTGAAAAGGTCCCCAGAGGAGCAACCCTCGTCGCTGAAAGTTAAGGCCGTTGAGTAGACTAGCATCATCGCGGCTAGGTCCTCGGTTAATCTTTGGCTCCTCACCTCCTGACTGGCACCGAGAACCGCCTTCGCTTCTGCGGTAGCCACAGTAGAGGATCGAGCCCCATGGAAT